ATATATATATATATATATTGTTACCAAATGATCGTTGAAACAATAAAATTCAAAAGTAGAATGATGTTTCTGAAAAGTATCTTCATATTTTTTAATTTTATTAGTTTATCATACTTTTACATGAAATTTTAAAAAAAAATAAATTAAAAAGAAGCTTGGTTTATCCAGCAGTTTAGGTGATTTAATCAACATGGATTTAATGATCGTTAATACACTCCATGATACAGATTGATGTTACAGCTAGTGGCCTTATTTATTGTTTAATAGTTACTATTAGGCGGTGCGTAAGAATTCACAAAATTTACAGCATTGATTTTGAAAAGAAGCGCCCCTCTTTAATTTGCAAAAGTAGCCTCGAAAAGAAGCCCATCTCGAAAAGAAGCCCATCCAAAGTTCGCAAAAAATAGAAGCCCAGGGCTTCAATTCGAGGTTTTACGTACATTATGCAAGTAGCCCTACGTGTATTAGACGAAACTTATACACCTCAAACTATTCAAACTATATTAATAATAGGGCCTATACGAAACTGGATAGCCTGGGTGCATGTAGGCCTAGTTAATGAAGATGAGGTTAGGGCCCACGACATCACAATTGCAGCAAATCAGGCATCGATGCGACAAAATAGGGAGTACCCGCAATCCAAAAACAAAAACGGATACCAGGGGCGGATGCAGAGGGGGTGCAGACGATGCGGTCGCACCTCTAAATTGTATTAAGAAAAAGACTTGTTGTATTGTGTTGATAATATATTATTTTTATCATTAAAAATATAGTACCGGTAAGATTTTAAAAGTACGAGAGTACAATTTCCGGGCACCTTTAGGTCCATATTCTAAAATACACGCGGCACAAGATAATGTAGGCCTATGTCATCATTTTTTAGACAATCATTCCCCTACAGTAGCATTTATCATAACGTAGGCGATTTATGAATCAAGGATCATATTCGCTCGTACAGTATATTATCAAGGATGTTTGAGGACGAATGTCACAGGCCCGTAGCCAAGTTATTCCAATGGGAAGGGGGTACGTTCTCTGGGCGTGGGGTCCAGGGTCGAAGCCTCGGTGTGGTCAGCAAAAACAAAAAAGCTGGAGAATTTTTACGGTGTTTTATGTGTCTAAATAATTCTATTAAAGAAGATATGCGTAAAACGTCTGGTTGGGTCTGCAGTGCATTAGTAAGGTTGGAGGACTTGTTTGCGAAATTTGAATGGGGGAGGGTTCGTCAGAAAAGAAGGGGTTTGCCAGAAAGGCGGTTCTCCCCGAGCCATAAACACCCTGGCTACGGGCCTGTAATGACGATAATGATATAGTATTCGTATTCGTTACCGTTTTCGTAAGGTTGCGAAATCTCCCTGTTATTTTCTTAGATACACCATTAAGAGAACACAAATGAAAGACTAATAATCTAGTGATCGATTCTTTATTTCATCTATCTCACAGTACGCATGCGTTGGGTCACTGTTTAATGGCAGAGGTATTGAAGGCAAATATCACTATTGGATCTCATTTGATGGAAAAATTATGCACAACTGGGGAGGAGTTCCAACGGGAACCACAGGATGCGCGTGTTGGATGACGAGTAAGTTTAACTCCACTTGAATCGGTTTGCGCAGCGTTTCGGGTTCTCATCGGAGGTTCGAACCCTATTTGTGAATATATAATAGCATGCAATAAGCACTATATGCAGGTCATAACAATGTGCGCGTTATAAATCTATCACTTAAGGCAATAATTTTATTACGACACCTTATCATTATGCTAATAATCATTACTATAGTCAGATTCAAAAACATTATTGTCAAACTACATAAATAATACAGGCATCCACTCAAATGCAAATGTAGGCCTACTCTTCTGCTGTCATTAGACTATACACTAAAGGTTATACAATCTGCAGTGCGTTACAGCCTGGAAATTTTTCGTCAAGTTTGACTTTGCCATTATGAATTTTGATGTTCTAAGTAGGCATTTATGTTTATTATATTGCAGGAACTTGTGACAACCCTACCTACCGTTGTAACTGTGATGTCAACGATGGTGTTCCACGTCAGGATCATGGTTACCTTACCGATAAAGCAGCATTACCTGTTTCACAGCTTCGTTTTGGCGATACTGGGTCTCAAGCAGAAAAAGGTGTCTATACACTTGGACCATTGCAATGTGCCTAAAGCAATTGATATAAGCTATCGTCGTCAGCTTTCGGTGATGCTGATTGATTAAGCCTGGTTTCCATAAACCCATTGCATCGAGGACTGCTACGCAGTATGATTGCACTGGAAACACTGCAGGACAGCGTAGCGATTTTAAGGAAACAAGGATTTAGGGGCGTCGCAAGCGGGGGTTCAGGGGGAAAAGAGCCCCCGTTGTTGGGGACCTCTAAACCCTTGCTTTGGGCCCCCTGTCGGCGAAATTCCAGCAAGGCCGTCGGGGAAATACGAAATCTCGACCGCCGAAAGTACAATTTAGGTATACCGGTACTTTACTAAGCTGTAAAATTTTAGGGATTAAAATCTGTTTAGTGCGAGCAGTGTTACGGTATGTGCGAGGTGTAGTATATTATCGCGATCAATTGGGTGCGGTCGTAGCACCAGATTTTCCTCGACAGGGTACTGGTACCTCCAACAGGTGGTTAGCACCCTCGGCAGGCGGGCATCTTAGTCGCATAGTTTTCTATCAAGCTATCATTTTAAATAAAGAGTACCATAACTTCAACACAATTTTCCCTGAGACGGGGTGGGAGTGTGCACACCTTGTCGAGGAGCTTGGACCCAGCGTCAGGGAATTCCTGGCGCCACCCATGGGCTTTACTTAGTACAACGATTGCACT